ACAGTCTCAGGTGAAACAACATATTTAGAACACGATCAGACGCTCACTCCTTTTCTCTGGTTGATAATTCAGAGTTTTACATAAAGTCAAGTTTAGAAAAGCCTCAGAGAGGAGGAGAAGGTGATGATGTGCAGATGACGCTGCTCTCCATGTTCCTCCACCGTCGACTCTTCTCGCTCTGACTCACTAAAACTGTTTTCAGAAATCTAGTTTGTGTTTCTCATGTGAGATTAACTGATGCTCTTATTTTGAAATGCCTGAAATTGGCTTTAGGTTTATTTGGATAAACTCCTCGAGATGCACAGTTTCCTTCTCAACATATTTCACAATCACTACATAACAAGAAGAGATAAAATCATGAAAACAGAAACAAGAAGACAATAACCGACATCACACATGAATAGATCCTGAGTGTCATGTGACACGCGTGTTACTGACTTGCTGGGAAACAGGTGTAATTGGTCTCCAAGTATTTAAAGGTGCCGACGCAGGGATCCGACCTTCGGGCGTCGTTTGTGTTCAGTTCACAAACTCTCTTCCCGTCACACCTACAGAGGGTTACAGTGTGTTTGAGTGCAAGTCAACACAAAGATGAGAAGAACAGAGTGAGAGCATCACGTTCACCTCGTCCTCAGGAGGTCAAAGGTCCCCTGCAGAGAACATGCTGTGTTGAGGAGCTGCTGCGGAGGTCGGCCCTCGCTGCACGTCTGTCTGTCTGTGCGTCCGTACAAAGCGTCCTGCACGCTGATCACTCCGCTGTCTGACCACACAGAGTCAAACAACAAGCTGTTCATCCCAATGATCACATGTCTACACTTTCATGAACATTAGTATAGATTTGGACTTGACTAGTTTTCCTCTGCAGGTCAGATGAAGAAAGAAAACATGCACAGACACAAACAAAGACCCAGAAACATTCAGTCGTCTCCCGTCAACATTAATGTGACCGGGGACAGGAAGTGTGGGACTTCGTACCGCAGCTCAGACGCTGGACGTTCCCGTCGTTGTCACAGGTGACGACTCTCTCTGCGGAAACATCTGGAAAAAAGATACGAGTTGAAATGTGTCAAAATACTTCTGGATGTGTGTAATAGATTACATTCAGTCCGGTGTGTTTACCTGTTGTCATGAGCGAGCATGTCGCTGCGAGCACTGAAACACAAACACAAACACAGACATCAAACACAAACACAAACATCAAACACAAACATCAACTGTCAATCATGACGTCTCCGTGTGTTTTTATATCATCAATAACTGAACAAACATCAGAGAGAAGAACGAGCTGAACAAACGTTTGGGTCCATGTCTCATCTGTCACTGGAGTCTGTGTTTTTTAAAGTTCAGATCAAAGTCACATGTGGTTTAACATTTCAAACTGTTCAGGACAGTTTGTCCTCAGCAGTTTGTCCTCAGCAGTTTGTCCTCAGCAGTTAATTATGTGATTAATGAAAAATGAAACTTGATGTAAACGAAGCTGAAATTCTACCAAAACCAAATTAATAGAAACAACGTTTTTATACTCACACAACGAGCAGCTGAGTGTGAAGTGGAGCATGTTTCCAGGAGTCGAACACTGACACACTGACACACTTGTATTTATACCGTTGGTCCACAGTCACAGTTAGACAACGACCTGGATGACTCACGTTCAGCTGCGTTAACATTTAACTTAACTTATCAGAAGGAAATGAAACAGAGTGAATTACCCAAACTGACGGGAAGAGAGTTGACAAAGAGTCGGAGACTTCCTCCTCCTCTCCGATGGTTTCACTGAAACTGAATCAACTGATTTCAACAAATGAAAGATTAAATCAAGTCGGTTTCATTTCGTGCAGCTCAGAAATATAAAATATAAAATGTCTGATCGCAACATTTCTCCGATATGTGGATGTTTCACATTTAATCCATCATGTGTGTCTGTATGTTGATGACATCACGTCTTCTCGATGTCACGTCAATAACACGGCTAGTTCGATTCTTAACATCAGAAACCGTCAACAAAGATGGACGACAAGTCTCCACTTCCTCCAGACAGGAAGTCAAAACACTCCGATTCTGCTGACTTCATCTGGAGACAGAGCAGAAGAGACGGAGCAGTAGAGACAGAGCAGTAGAGACGGAGCAGTAGAGACAGAGCAGAAGAGACGGAGGAGAAGAGACAGAGCAGTAGAGACAGAGCAGAAGAGACGGAGCAGAAGAGACAAGAGACGGAGCAG